ACGGAACTCTTTCCAAGAAAAAAAAAACAAAAAACAAAAAAACCAAAAAAAAAAAAAACAACAAAACAACTGTCGCAACACTGCAGAAGTTTGATCTCGGAGTGGACGACATCGTAGATTTTAAACCAAATTCGGCGCTTTCTGCTTGTGCAAACGTTATCCTGTCGGGCTACTGGAGGAAAGGACGGGTAACTAAGTTGACATGGGCGATTGAGGACTGCGAGAACTATGAAATTCACCTTTTTGTCTAAATATCCCAAACATGCTGTAAATTGAAAATGTAAAATTTAGGGTGTGGGAATAAATATTATTATTCTGGATCTAGATTAAATATTGGTATTGTTATTATTTTTTTTAGATCGACCGTTGATTAAATTTTTTTGTATTTCATTGAACCGTGGCATGACTCAGCACCGAAATTTGGCGCCATAGTATGATGACGTCACAAACGTGTATCGTTTTCCAGCACCATCGGACTTTGGCGTTTCAAACCATCGGACTTTGGCGTGTCAAACCATCGGGATTTGGCATGACCATTCGACTTTGGAGTCCCATCGCACTTTGGAGTCCTACATAATATATCGACTATCATGGGTTTTTCACAACCGAATAAATGATCCTACCAATATTCAAAAGTTTCAAAATCTCACCAATCAGTTCAACATTTTAAAAACCGTTGTCTGATTTAATCGTGAAAACTTTGAGGAAATAAAAAAATATGGGAAAAGATTTATGTAATTATATTTATAAAATATAACACATTCAAGTGTTTTAAATTTTAGATATATTCTCTTTACGAATCTTTTTGTCTATTCATTCGATGATCAATGACAAAAAGTATAATTATAGTTAACTATAGTGAATTCTTTAGTTGCGTTGAGAATCCAGTATGAAAATGTTCGTCTTTTATTTCATTTGTGTATATACGTGCATTCAGTGGTGTTGAAAGTTGTTAAATGTGTAGAGACTTACTGGGATAAACCTGACAAGATTTTTACGAAAAGTGTCTTTTAGAAAAAAACAAGATCCCTTTATCATCTAGAAACTGCAATAGTCGAGAGACATTGAATAGTTGGTCTGTGTTACATGTACCTGCACATTTGGAACATTTTAGCGCACCTGAGGTGAAAGCTCACGTGAGCTTATCTAATCACCGTTGTCCGTTCCTCTGTCTGTCTACCCAGAGGCAACAAAGTCTAAATCAAAGGACACAACCTGGGGATGTGATCATGAGAGGGATGCTCGTGAATCATCTTCCATACTAATTTCACTGTGGAAATTGCGCGACTTTTTCTCCACCCAGAATATCCATGAATTGGTGGTTCACTTTAGAGTCTTGTGACTGTTGTGGACAAAGGATTTTGAATTTATATTGCCCCTTTTGCAAAATCAAGTATTTTTCACTGGATTGACCGGAAGGGAAGGATTCTTGAAAATTGAAGAAATTGAGACCAGTGACATATGATATAAAAACCTTCAATATTACCAAGTACACACACAGATCTATTTGTGTGAGAATGACTTTGCAGACTTTGTTGTGTGGACTCGTTAGATATATATGTGTAAAGACATTTTGAACAACCATGCTTATTTGAAATAAAATAAATATGTAAACTTTAAGTAAATGGCAGTAAAGCCAGAACTTGTGGGGCAAATCTATACGCGCCAGAGTATCCCCCGGCAGAAAGGACTACAACACAGAAGGCACAATGAATAGCATGATGTTTTTTTGTATTTCCTAACAAAATATTTTTAGTTTTCAAGATAAAAAGGAAAATATCTGTAAATTTTCGCTCTTTTATGCGTTCTAATTTTTGACCCCTATATAGCCCTATTTTGAATGCAGAAATCGAAAAGCAAAAACCGATGTGCACAACTTCAATCCTATATGTTATCTAAAACAGGTAAAATTTCTGCTAGCTTTTGTGGTCTCATTATCAATCTATCCGGAAACGAAAGCCTATGATTTTTCGTTTCAAAACCGGAAGTGACTTTTTGAAATTTTAGTCATCATTCTGATAGAGTTTATAAACGTTATAACCTTTGAAAATTTGAGCGAAATCCGTTGTTAAAATGAGTGAAATATGAGGCCTCAAAGTTGGCGTCTAGGAAGTAGAAGAAAAAAATTTTTAAAGAATAATAATCTTTACCAACAGAATCAGTAGAAGGTCTTCCGTTCAAAAACGGAAGACCATTTGCTTATTTATCGTAAACCAAAACTTTATATAATCTAGACAAAAGAAAAATATACGGGCCGATTCACCTCAATTCTGACTGCCTTAGTGTTTGATGATTCATACAGGAAACCTTCAGGATTATTTGAATTTTCTTAATAGGGACCCAAAACACTACCCATGTAATTTTATTTTCAATTTACTGAGGAAAGGATGTGCAGCGAACCACCTTCCAATTTCTCCAAGACATCATCCCACTTCAGAACTCCATCAGGAAAGTTTTTCTTGTATCTAGACGACCTCTCCAAAACCATTCAACGCCACTTAGTTGAACTCTCCTGGTTGCAATGATTTATCATGTGACCTATGACGTAAGTGTGCAAATTATACAGAGTCAAATTGATGTGCGATATATTTAAATGATGAGTTATGTTTTATATAAACTTGTTTAACATTGCTATTTATACCTAGAATTGTTTATTTCCAACTTATTAACTATATTGTTATTGTTGATATTGTTATGTCAAAATCGATATATTTATTTTGTTGTAGCCCATTAATAAACACTGTGAACTGACTCATTGACTATGTCTTTTATATGGCGATATTCCCATGAAAACTAGTAATAAAATCGGTAATGATATAATATGATCCAACATTCGGGACGAATGTTTTTCGTGGAAGGGGAGCTCCGTTAGAAATTGAACCCTGATCAAAATAACCCAGATATGTTCACCCTAATCTATTCCCTGAATATTTAATCTGTATATCAACTTTATCTGCAGATTTCATTGGAATGGCACAAATCTTTATATGGTATTGTGTGTTTTATGATTCATTGTTTATGTTTACTCATTGAATATTGTTTGGTTGTATTGTACAAACCCGAATTTCCTCAATAAATAAGCCCTCTCGTAATAACGAAATGACAATGGATCCCTTTTCCTGAATTTGTAATGCTAAAGCCTTCAATTGAAGCAACAGCTGTTACTATACAAACGTCCCGCTAATACTGACAGTACCGCTTGTTATTTGCGAGAGAAGTAATTCGCACCGGTGTACAAAACTCATGTAAAGAATGCATTTTGGACGTTCCCTTTAGTCTGGGACGTTGGTCAGTCCTATTAACATCTTGACTGAAACTCCCAACTCATAGAATCCCAACTCATTAAATGCACTCTTAAATATTGGGTAAGAATCTGATGGCACCCATATTTCCATTGGGTAAATCGATCTATGGGTAACCCAATCAGCTGATTATTGTATATCCTGACCCATTATCAATCTATGTATAACCAAATCAATCGTATGGAGACGCCAGCACAAGCCGATTGAGAGCTCCAAATTTTGTCCTGTACTCGGCGCCCAGGGCCAACATTGAGCGGTAAAGGATCTTTTTCCTGCCAGCTTCTTGTGCGACACGAGACCTCGGTTTTTTCCGTCTCATCCGAAGGACCGGACTCCACCTCCCAAAGTGGAATTCGAACTCGCGAGGTTAGGATCAACTCCTTGCTTCGCAAATCTAGAATAGACGCTCTAAGCACTGCGCCACGTGTACGACCTTCAGTAGTTGTAGATAATTGAATTCTTTTACGATCTTCACAATCATCCTGTTAGGAAATTGAACCTACCAATGGATTGTATTTTGGCTGGCATGGATCATACAAGATAATTAAGCCTTCCTTTTTATCGTACATTTGACTACTCAATGTATCCTAGATCAATATATAGGGCTCGGGAGTGTGTGTCCGCTCAGTGAGGATGCTCTCATATAGGCACCTGATCCCACCTCTGCTATTTCTTTTTTCAGAGTTGTAATTGCATGCGATCGATTACTGTTCTTTTCCACTTTATTTTATTAAATACACTTCACTGATGACATTGGTGATAATAATAATAATATTGGTTTAAAATTACAAATATTTAATTAAAATGGTAGAAAGGTCCAATGTTCAACAAAACGCATGACATCGAAATTGATAGATATACGTTAAATAAAATCTGAGATAATCTCAATAGTAACATTTAAGGTCAAGATCTAGTAAATGAAAGGTGCCTACAGATTTATCAAACTTGAGAAATAAATTCCCTTACTGATCCTTTTCAACTTTAGATTGGTCTAATAAGGTGTTTCGGGGCATAATTTTTAGGTAAACAAGATGAAAAACAGTATTTCAAAGTGTCATTTTCAATGAAAAAATTAGAAAACCAGTCATGAATACGGGAGTTTTTCTCATATTCGACAAAGGAAATGTATCCAGATTGCCTACAGTCTCTCAGAAAACGGTAATTAGTATGTTCAAGGCCTCTTCTTTAAATCAACATCAAATTTAATATAGGTATCCGGTTTACTTTTCATACGATTTCAAATTGAATGTCATGAAAATACCCTATTTTCTACATAATTCTGCTAAAGCCGAAAAGTACGGGAAAAAGAAAGTTGAAATTGATTATGACGTCATAATGGATCTAGCACCAAAAAAGTAGGCTCAAGTTATTTACTAGATCTTGACCTTAAAAGAATCTTTACCTCATTTAAAATAAATATAGAGATAAAATATGAGATAATATCAATACTTACATTTAAATATTTTTTTTTCTCATTTAAATACGAGAAATCTCATTGCAAAAGAATAACAGTAGTTTTTTTTCTTCAGAAAATTTAATTCATTCTGTATCCTAACAGTTATATAAAAATATTTCACATCCCTTTTCTGCAACTCTTTATTCCAAAATGTAAAAAAAAAAATCAAGTGTTAACTTTCATATTTTTTCTTCCATGCAATTGATTCCTTTAATCATGTTTATTCAAATCATTTTAGCCTTCTAGTCAACCCTTCTGACCATCAATTGAATTTGTCTCAGCGAGTACGACTGTCCTAACCACGCGCCGTATGTTATTCCCTGCGCGTTCTTGGAGTTGAGACCTCCTAAGTACAAACCATTAGGATTGGTATAAAGACAATTTCTGTACCACCATCCACCCTTGTAACTCACAGAACAGCTTCCCCCATTTAAATCGTTGTCCTGATCCTTTGTTGAAAATTTCATGTTGTTAATGTAAGTCAAGGAGTCACCTTAAACAAAATAAAAGTTTGATGAAAAAAGATGTTCCTTTAAGGTCAGACGAGACGTTCCTCAAAATTTGTTTTGTATATCTTCGTAATGTATGAAAAATATCCAAAATTTTAATAACATTATGATTTCTAAACCAGTTTCTAAACATTTTTTAAAAATCCAAACACATAAACATTTGAAATTAGAAAATTATTTTTTCTTCCTCAAAGGATTATATAAGAAAAACTACCCCTGGTATCTTGCAGAAGTGCCTGGTAAGGTACCCCATTTTTTTGTGAGTAAACATATTTAAGTAGCAATACTTCAATGACAAACTCTTAGAAAAATTTATTTATTTTTAAGGAACGTCTCGTCTGTCCTTAACGCCCGTTTGGCACAGCGTTAAAATTAAAATAAAAAAAGTCATTCTAAATTTTATTTCAAGAATTCTAATTTTTACTAATATCATATCTATTGTTTAATGTGTAAAGAAAAAGCTCTAACCGATGCGCTATGCATGCAACTAATTAAAAATTATTTTTATTTTTTTACTAACATCATATCTATTGTTTTGTGAGTAAAGAAAAAGCTCTAACCATTGCACTTTGCGTGCGACTAATTATTGGAAATTAGTTTTATTTTAATCATTTTTGTTTACTTACGTCAAACATTTAGAAAATATATGTACACTTATATCATTAAAAGAGAAAAGGTGAAATATTTCTTACCGACGTTCCCGGAAAAACCAGATAATGTGATCTTATACTTTGAAGCCTCGTTTCCAATAGATATACTGCTAAGTTTAACATAACGTGTTTGATTGTCGAAATCAGCCATGTCTACCCGCAACTCGTATTGTCCTTGACTCAGTAAATTGTGTAGCTTGTCGTTGCCTTTAAAAAAGAATCGGAAAAAGAATCCATAAAACAAATCTTCCGTGCTAAATATTACAAATATGGGCTTATCAAAACACATATGTTAATGAGAATGCATATTCTTTATTTAGGGAAATTTTATAACAAGTCTTCCTTGTCAGTGGCGTAGCATCGTTTTTGAAAAAGGAAGGGGGCCAGCCAGAGAAAAAAAAAATGACTTACCTGAAAAAGTTAGTTCCCAATGTCGAAAATCCTATTTTGGGGGTGGGGGTGGGGGTAAGGTAAACTTTTTCTCAGTGTCAACTACTTTTAGTACCAATTCTAGTACTACATTTTCGGTACATCACTAAAAGTGATGTAGTGGGGGGGCCAACCAGGCTTTCAATTAAAATTTCCTATAGTATAAGTATGGTTGGTGAAAAAAGTGGGGGGGGGGGGGCGTGGCCCCCCCGGTTGCTACGCCCCTGCTTGTATTATCAGAGTGCTTATATCATTCAATCTCATTTACTGATTTACGACAGGAAACCCTTCACGGTTGCTCGCTTCCCCATCAGGTGGTCGTGAGCTAGCAGTTTGTCGTGTACTCGGCATAGACATTTGAAGACTTTTACCGGTACATGGTGACACAGGAGTGGAAAGTTCTCGAATGGTACTTAAAACAACATATAATCAATCAATCATTTACGACACTACATCAAGAAATGATTTTACTTTTTTCAATCAAAATGAT